GAACCAACGGGAGCATACAGCTCTTCTTAAAATTGAAGGTGTTTATGCTCGAGATGAAACCGAATTCTACTTAGGCAAGAGATGTGCTTATGTGTACAAAGCAAAGAACAACACAGTGACTCCTGGTGGCAAACCTAACACAATCAGAGTAATCTGGGGAAAGGTAACTCGTGCCCATGGAAACAGTGGCATGGTTCAGACTAAATTCCGAAGCAACCTTCCTGCTAAGGCCATTGGACACAGACTCTGTGATGCTGTATCCCTCAAGGATTTAAACTTCTTGAAAAGTCAATTAGTAAATTTGTGGATCTGATTTAAAAAAAAAAAAGAATCATATACCCTGCAAAACTGCCCACTCAAATATGACTGTGAAATTTGGGCATTTCCTGAAAATTATAAATTAAAGTGACCAGACCAACTTTGCAAAAAATGCTAAGTCACTGTGAACCAACAACAGCAGACAACAACCCGAGATTACCGTACACAACCCAGAACTCAATGCAGATATAGAAATATTTAGAGTACAACAAACCTACAGAGCTGAAAATAGGGAACCAGAGACACAAATTTATAGTGAAGTCCACTACAATGCAAAAAGAGGGAATAGTGTAGATACAGATCTTCCAAATGACAAGGAAGTCAAGTAGATATCAAGATAAAACATACTGTTTTCAATAGGGAAATAATTTTAATAAATTACAGGATAACCTTCAATTTACCTTGAAATTTAAACACTTGCACATCAAAATAAAAAAAAGAGAGAAATCAGGAAGATTTAATTAACATTAACACAGCAGAAATGAAAAGAAAACCCAAAACCAAAATGAACTCAGAGCAGAAAATTATGTGGAAGAAACAAACCAGCAGCAACACACACACATAGAGGTTTATGAGAGGGGGTGGGGGACACAACACCACCAGCAAGATATGCTCACCATGGACTGGTCAATCATTCCAAATCAAAAGGGCAACATTTTCCTAAGGACAAAGCTGAGAAGGGATGGGAAGGTGGGTGGAATGCAAATAGGAACCACAGCCAGGAAGTGAGATAACTGTTGTTACATGGAGGGGATTGT